TGTACAAATGCGCTTTACACAATTGATGTGTGTATGGATTGTGATAAGAGTTGTATGAGCCCCTAATAAAATGATTAAAAAAATAAAATAAAAACTGGTATAAAATGGCAACGAGCAATTTTGGTTTCTTAGGCTTTCTTTGTTGTGAATTGTGTAATCTCTTGTGAACAGATCAGAATAGCAACCCACCCATGAGATTCTTTTGGCAGTGCTACCCGAATACAAGGACAAAAGCTATTGCTGTCTGCATGGAGCTGCGACCCTGTGGTGTGGCGTCTGGGTTATATATGGATCTATTGGCAGGCTCGGTAGCGACCGTCTGCTTAGGGAGCAGGTGACTAGAAAGGCCTTTTTGATGGGAGGCCTTTGTGACTTGACCCAGTGCTTCCCTGTCATTTCCATCCTGCTGCAGTCTTTGCTTTTACTTTATATCCCGAGTTGTAGAGAGCAGTCAGCTTCCAGATACCTTCATCATCAAAGTGAAGGATACTTAGGAAGGTTTGGGCTTGGACTTCCAGAGGTAACACCTTTGTTTTCCTTGGAACTTTGTACTTAAAGCAGCAGAGAGGTAAGAGTTATAAAAAATGATTTTTTCAACCATTTTTTCTCCTAAAAAGACTGGAACTGGGAGAAACAAAAAGAACAACCCAAAGAATACCAGCGAATCCTCCAGTGCTTCTTAGATAGAAAAGACCGTTGCTACTCTATCCATCAAATGGGTAAGGCTGTACCTGAGCACCTTTAATCTGCTTCTTCTTGTCCTCTGCCTTCTTTGTGGCTCCAAGAAGTCATCGACCTGCTATGGAAAATAATAGTAATAATAATTTGTGGCTTGCTGGAAGATCTTTGGCTAACATGTTTATTTTTTCCCTCCCACATAAAAACAGCACAAATGGGTGTAGGAGAAGGGAAATCAATTGGTGAATGGTTTGGACCAAATACAGTTGCACAGGTGTTAAAGTAAGTATAACAGTCTGCTGTCTGCCTTTTTCCGTCTCCTCTACTTCCCTCCCTTGCCAGCTCATTCTCTCATCAGCCTCAGTCTTTTTACAATCCCATCAAGCCATCCTCCCACTAAGCTACCAAACAGCTGTATCATTTTGCTCAACCAGTTCTTCTTTAAAGAAAAAGAGAACACTTATGGTCTTACCCCATTAGCCCAAGGTCATAATGGGTTCCAAGCCAGTTCTTTGAAATACTTACAAGGTGGCCCTCTGCCTGAAGGTCTCAGAGTTGTATTAATTTGCACCAGAAATCAATTCAGTATCTCACCTTATAAATGACTGCTCACTTCCCAGGAAGCTGGTCACTTTGAAGTCAGAGTTCATACTAAGAGGTGGAGGCTGAGCCAGCCTAGGCCAGAAATGGATTCTACCCCCCCCCACACACACACACATAGTACTTATTTTTTTAATGATTCACTTAGTCAACATTGACTGAATCCTTCCACTTTGCTGAGCAAATAGAAATCAAGGAGACTCTTCAGTAGAATGCTCTGGAGATGTATGTGTGAGAGTAGTAGGATAGATTGAGTACTGGATTTTCAAGGTGCTCATGGCCTCCTATAGGAGAAGGGAGGCTTGGCAAGCAGCATGCCACCTTTGAGCACATTCCAGGCACCCTGCTGTGACCCTTTGCAGTTAACCTGGCACATTCCAGAAATCACCTCCCACAAGCAGAGTGAGGTGGAGTAGCCAAGAGCAGCGTTTTGAACGTGAATTGGGTAAGTGGCATCCGCACCTTCGCTCCTGGGCCAAACCGCCTGTGGTCCACTCTCTTTCTTGACAGGCTGTCACAGGAAGAAAACTCCAAGAGGACAGAGATTGCATTTGCCTAGTCACATCCGTAACACTAGCACATAACACTACTCCTCTCTCTCTCTCTCTCTCTCTCTCACACACACACACACACACACACACACACACAACAAAGCCCCACAACCAAACAAACTCACTAGCATCGAGTTCATTCTGACTCATGGGTAACACTGCCTCTGTGTGGGTTTCTGAGACTAATTTTTTATGTGAGTAGAAAGCCAAGTCCTTCTCCCTCAGAGTTGCTGGTGGTTTCAAACTGTTGACCTTACAGATAGAAGCCCAATGCTTAATCATTATGTCATCAGGGCTCCCACTTATAAGGGCTCAATAAAACTTTGGCGAATGAGCGAACATGGTAGCCAGAATCTGGGAGCAGATGTTGGGATTCGAAGAGTGAAGCCCTTGGGACGGCTGTGATGTAGCATGCTGCAATCCGTGGGCAGTCTGTCTGCAGCATTCTTGCAGGAACGACAGAGCGTTTCCAACTTGGGAAGTATTTGAGTTGTTGGGATTGTACTGTGACCCCCTGGGATTTTTCTCCTTGTCCGCGTTATCTTTATTAATGAGTGACAAAGATGAGACAGGCTGGTCTTGTAAATATTCACGGTCTCGGAACCCCTACGGAGCAGTTCTCTTCTGAGTCGTAATCCGCTTGATGGTAGTGCGTTGGGGTTTGGGACTGTATTCATCTATATTATGGCAGCGAGGTCGGTTTGCCTTATAAACAGTGCTCCAGCATGTTAATTTGCGGCTCTTACTATTCTCAGATCATCACTTGCAGATGTTTTATGATTTATAAAGATACTCATAAAAGGGCAATTAATAATGGGAAACAATTTTTAATAAAGGTGGTCAACTTACGCCAGAACCAACTTAGGACAGTTTTTATCACGAGGCCCTGTTGAAAGTTCCTCACACATTCACTGCCACAGAGTCGATTCAGACCCATGGCAGCCCTATCGGACAGCGTAGAACTGGGTTTCCCAGCCTGTAACTCTTACGGGAGCAGGAAGCCTCCTCTTTTCCCGCAGAGTGGCTGGTGGGTTCCAACCACGGATAGTGCAGGGAGCCACCCAGTGTATCGCCCTGGACTCCACCAGGGTTCCTTAGCGTAGGTTAGGACTGTCGGTACTCTAGGCTGTTTTAAAGTGTATGATTCTCTGACTCTCTTAATGTAAAGCAAAAGGATTTATTGAAAGCTCAAGAATCTTCAAATAGGAAATCATTGACTTCCTGTCTGGGGAGCCCATGAATCCAAGGGACAGCTGTTTCTATGGGGATAAATAAAGGCCAGATTCGAGAATTACCAGTAATGAATATTCTGCTTGCCTGGCTACTATCCATTCCTTTGAATGACTATATTAGGCAAGTCATATAAGCATTTTTTCTGCATCTACTTTCAGCCACATTTTTCCTGAGGGCGACCTGCCCTCTTTATTTACCCACCAATAATCATGGTCACCTTCTCAGGACCAGAAGCATAACCCAAGGCAAAATGGAGTCTGAGTCAGCCATTTCAGTGCAATCAAACACCCCCAATTGTGAAGTGCACAGAGTCCACATTCTCTGAGAACATCTTGCACAATGAGCTGTGAAAATGATCTGCATCTCCCAAACCCCTACTTAGAACACACTGCGGACAACGTGCCGAAACTTTCTGTCTGGCTCACCACAGGGCAGACATTCCTTAGTTACAGGCTTGGGTCTGTGTCTAGGTTCACAGCCTGTATATGTGACGCAGAGCTTAGAAGGGCAAGAGACTACAGCCTGGAGCATCCATTTGACTTAGGTCAAGTGTCCTGGAATTTGGATTCCTTGGCAATACAAAGTACAGATGGGACACCGTTGCCTTTATTAGCCCATCTGCAATACACTAGCATGCTTGGGAGATGTATCCATGCAAGGGGTGCAGTCTGGGTTTTCTGAGTACCCAACTACAACCTGGATCTCGGGTCTACTTTTTTCTCTGAGACTGCTTTCTTGCTTTTGTAAGTCGTGCCTTTGGGCATCATGGCTAAGTAAGAATCAGGCAGCGTTGGAGAAAACACTGTAGGCACCCAGGATCAAAAGTGTCAGAGTAAAGCCCCACACCTGGCTTGGGTTTTAAATGGCACCTCTCACTATTTGCTTCTTTAAAGAGTTTGAGGTTCTAAATCATGAACAAATGGAAGCATGCATATTTTTAGGAGTTGAAGTTAAGCGGGTTAAGATTAATCATGATCAGCCCTTTGGGGCATGGGGAAAGAAAAGGCATTCAAATGAACGACATAAAAGAGTCATGGTAAGGAATGCCTGCCGGGGGAATACACTGGTTTGGGAGAGAATGTATTTTGGCCTTGGTCCAAAGTGGCACTGGCCTTTTCACAAGAATCCCCGCAGTAGCCTTTTCCAGCCTTGGAAACTATGAGGCAGCTCTCCTCTATCCTACAGGGTTGCAATGAATTGGAATCAATTTGATGGCAATGGGATTTTTATACACATACATGCACATATTTATCCCATGTCCTCGGGACATGTTATTAGGAGAGATCAGGAGTCCTGGGAGAAGGACATCATGCACGGTAGAGTAGAGGGACAGCAAAGAAAAGGCAGGCCTTGCACGAGATGAATGGACAGCGTAGCTGCAGCAGTGGACTCAAGCAGAGGACGGTGCACGACCGGGAGGGTTTCCCTATTGTACATAAGGTCGCTATGAGTCAGAACCAACAACAACAAATACATATGAAGTTTATGAAAAAAAATCCATTATCTTGTAATTCCATTCCTCCATGAACTTGGTGAAGCTCCCTTGCGTGTATAGGAGCCCTGGCGGCGTAGTGGTTATGCGTTGGGCTGTAATCCACACGATCAGCAGTTCAAAACCACATGGGGCTTTCTGGTCCCGTAAAGAGTTACAGTCTCAGAAACTCACAGGGACAAGTACTACCCTGTCCTATAGGGTTGCTCTGAGTCAACATTGACTCAATGGCAGTGATATATATATTTAACTGTTGCTGGAAGTAACCCGGAGCATACACCAATTGCACAATTGCTGCAAGTAGGACTCAGTGAGATTAATTGCATCCTTTGAGCTGTACAGCCATTGCGACTGTTCTTTTCTGAGGCGTTCCTTCCCCATTGACCTAGCTTACTAAGCTTCCTACCCAACCTTCTGCGGCGCTGTGGTCAACTTGACCCCTTATAGATAACCCCCAGAAAGAACACAATGTTCAAGGCATGCATCCTTTACTAATTATTAAATGGGAAAAACATTTTTAAGGGAGACTAATCTTAAAAATATCTATCTTTTTAACGTGGTGAACCAGAATGTCTTTTTTTTTTTTTAAGAGAAGAAAACATCTGGGGAGTAAATGCAGTCCTAACCCTTCTCTTTCATTCAATCGGAGGAATGTCCTTTGGTGAGGTAGACTTGGCATTTCACAAAGCAGAGCAGTCTCCTTCTCAAGGTTCAGGTCCAGGGACCATGACCTTCTCCAGGTCCCAGAGCAAGGGGTGTCCCAGAGCTCTGTCAAAGGAGCCAGAGCTGATGTGAACACGCCGAACCCCTCTGCGACTCAGCCTTTAGTGCTTTGGGGAAGACTGGGCCTCAATTTTTCCTTCTTCTGGCTGCTGTCTCCATCTTTCCCCCATCGTGACTTCGTTGTATGTTGCTTTGCAGAAAACTGGCGTTATTTGACGATTGGAATTCCTTGGCTGTTTATGTTTCCATGGATAACACGGTGGTGATTGAAGATATCAGTGAGTCTCAAGGCTGTTTCATTTTCTTGGCTGGCGGGTGATGAGTTTCTTCCTCACCCTCAGAAAGCAGGCGAGCTCTAGAGAGTCTTTCTGGTCTGTCCCACCAGGGCGCTAAGCTTAAGGGAACACAACCAGCCAACCAAACCAGTTGCCACCTACTCCTTATGTGTGTTTCAGAGTAGAACCGCACTCCATCAAGGGTTTCTCTGGCTTTCCCCTTTTGGAATAAGGTTGCCAGGCCTTTCTTCTGAGGTGCCTCCAGGTGGGTTCAAACCACCAACCGTATGGTTAGTAAGTAGCCTAGCCAGTAAGCATTTGCACCACTCAGGGACTCTTTAAGGGGACACGGGGCTCTGGTGAATCATTCCTGGCCTATTTCTTGTTTTGTTTTCCTCCTTTGGGCTTTCTGAGAGAAAGCCAAGAGAGTGGCCTTGCTTCTCTTCCACATGGGCTCAGCCATGTTCCCTCAGGAGTTGCAGAGTGAGAACTATTCGGCGCAGCCGCCTCTAGGTCTTTTATGCAGTCTCATGAGTCAGAATGTCAGGAAGAGAACTTTTTGTTTTGAGCCTTACTCACAATTGGGCTCCCTGCCACGGGGTTAGAGAAACTTAAAGATACAGTCCTCTCTCAAAGGCCCTTGGAGACTAGCTGAGGAATGAGAGCTTCTCCCGGAGCCCTTAATGCCTGACTAAAGGAGGCAAGTGTTCAGTGATGACTGAGGACTGGAGGCTTGGCTTGGGCTTCCTAGAAGAGATGGGGAGATCTCCTCCCCACTCAGCAGTGGGGAGGGCATTCCAGGCAGGGCATGGTATGTGATGTCCAAACTCCCCCCCCCCCTTAGGATCGCCTTTGGCATCTCTCCTAGAGCTGCAGACCCTTTATTTATCCAGTTCTCCTGTCTTCTGTTTCTAGAGAAAATGTGTTGTGTCTTTCCCACGAGTGGCGCCACAGCTGCCGAGAGCCCCCTCGAGCCCTCGGATGTGTCCAGCCAGAGTAAGAGCACCTCTGCCTGCTGCCCAGCCTGGAAGCCCCTGCTGCTCATTGTACCCCTTCGGCTGGGCATCAACCAAATCAACCCTGTCTATGTTGACGCCTTCAAAGTAAGTTGCTCACCGCCCCCAGTCCGTCGCTCGCTGTCCATCACACCTCCATGTGTGCAGAGAGATCCGTGAGCAGCAGTCCACAAGTGAGTTGAGAATCTCGCACTCTCTTTTCTCTAGGAGTGTTTTAAGATGCCACAGTCTTTAGGGGCATTAGGAGGAAAACCAAATAACGCCTATTATTTCATAGGATTCTTAGGTAAGAAAACAAGATGTGACAAGTAAGTCATTGGGCGCCAGGGGAGAGGGTGTGTATGTGTATGTGTGTGAAGGCTTGCCTGGGAGCCCAGGCTTTCCCATGAGTGGGCTCCCCTTAGCCCAGGGTTGCTGGGGCCTTGGGTCAGCCCGTTCTGTCTCTAACCTGATCTAAGGAGAGTAACACTTTTGCATGCCTGATGGAACGCAGATCCCCTCTCAATGGCTCTGCTTCCTTGCTTCTTGATCAGATGGTTCCCGGGCTGCTTCTCCGTTGGATCAAGGCCACACTGTTGGCCCAGCACATCTGTCTTCTGCCTGCAGTTGTGCTCCTGTGGCCAGCTGCCATCCCCTGGCTCGCCTGGCCCAAGTAGTCGGGTCAGCTGGTTTGTTGTGGCCAAGTACAAATTAGAGGAGGCAAAGGCTAGGTATCCCTCTCCTCAGGAAGGATACCCCTTAAAACCACTGACTTCCTAAGGTGGAGCTTTGCCTTTGCTGCGTGCTATTTTGGGACATCCAACCACTGACTCACCAGCCACAGCCTGAGACCTACCTTTCAGGGCCCTGGCCTGTGAGCAGTGGGAGAAAGGTGGGGTTGTCTTCTCCCATGAAGAGTTAGCGTCTTCATACTGGATCAGTTGACCTCCCACTTGACCCAACCTGAAATTTCCTAGGTGCAAGTATTGCTTGCTTGTTCCATGACAAACATTTCTTCTCTGGCCTTTTAAATGCTGATGGTGGTCTTTTCTTTCTTACTCATGATGTGTATTTTTATCATTGTATTCTTATTTTATGTTTATCACTTTGAAAAAAAAGTTTTCATCTCAGAAACCTACAGGGGCAGTTATACCCTGTCCTGTAGGGTCATGGTTACACATTGGGCCGCTAACCACCTGGTCAGAACTTTGAAACCACTAGTCAGTCTGCAGGGGAAAGATGAGGCTTTCTACCCCTGTAAAGAGATACAGTCTCAGCAAAACACAGGGCCAGTGCTACCCTGTCCGAGAGGGTCGCTATGGGTCAGAATGGACTCACTGGCAATGAGTTTGTATAGGATCGCTGTGAGTCTGATTGACTGGGTGCCAGTGAGGTTATTCCCGTGCCTCTCCAAGGTTCAAAGGACAGTGATCTCTCTGGCATCCTAGGAAAATGCAGATTCACTCGGTCAGGGGAGGGGCCGGAGATGCGGCCTTTCTTCGGAGGCGGTGCCCATCCTGCTGATCCACAGGCTGCATTTACAGTCCCTCCCACCTAGAGATCTAGTTAGTGCTGGATGCAGGAGTGAGGGAATGAGAGAGCCCGGGAAAGGCAGTCGACCGGGATGAAAATGCCTGAGTCTGCTCCTGAAGGACATGATAAGCATAGCTTGGTTGAGAGTGAGGGAGAGCTAGAGTCAGGCCAGCAGCGGGTGGGGGTGGGGTGGCGCTAAGGGGGAGGTGCAGGGTGTAGGATGATTGGCTCTGTCACCTTGGAGCTAAGGGTCCCCCCTTCCCTATGGCTAGCTGTGCTACTGTAGAAACCTTATGGCCATCCAGTCAGCAATGGCTCAGAGGGACCATACAGACAGGGTAGAACTTCCTCTGTGGGTTTCCAAGGCTGTACATCGTAAGGAGCTGAAAGCATCGTCGGTCTCCTTCAGAGCAGCTGGTGGGTTCGAACTGCTGACCTTGAAGTTAGCAACCCCACATGTCCATTATGTCACCAGAGCACCTTCAGCTGTGCTCACTACAGGAAAGGGTATTAACCTTGGTCCGGTTCAGATTCCTTTTTATGTGAAAAGGGCTAACACCTGAATCAGTGTGGTCCTCTCAGTAGAGCGCTCAGCAAAGAGCCAGGCAGATTTATGATACGCACTGGATAAAAGGCAGCTCCTTCCTGCCTGACCGCGACGTTTCCTTTGCTTACTTGCTCTTCCTGCCTTTAGTGTTGTGTGAAGGGGAGGCACAGTGTTTCCACACCAGCTATCGCTGTACTCTGTAATGCTGCCCTCTATTGGGCAATTACGAGAGCTGCAGTTGAATGGACAGATCTGGAGAACAGTGAGGCTTTTCTTTCCCTCAGTTTTTGTTAATGTTAAGAGCCCTGGAACTGGTTGTGATGAAACGCCGCCTATTCCCGCGCCATCCTCACACTTGTTCTGTAGGAGCCAGTTGTTGCAGCCACTGTGTCCATCCATCTCCTTGAGGGTCTTCCTCTTTTTTAGCTCACCTTCTACTTTACACGCAGGATGTCCTTCTCCAGCGACTGATTTCTCTTGACATGTTCAAAGCATGTGAAACAAAGTCTTGCCATCCATGTCTCTAAGGAGAATTCTGTCTGTACCTCTTTCCAAGACAGATTCTTTGGCCTTCTGGCAGTCCATGGTGCCTTGAATCTTCTTCCCCAGCACCATCACTCAAATGCACCAATTCTTCTTCGGTCTTCCTTATTCAGTGTCCCACTTTCCCTGGCATATGAGGCGATTGGAAATGCCATGGGTTGGGGGCAGGTGCACCCTAGTCCTCCAAGTAACATCCCTGTTCACAACACTTTTAAGAGGGCTTGTGCAGTGGACTTACCCAGTGCAGTGCGCCGTTCGATCTCTGGCCTGCTGCTTCCATGAGCACTGACTGTGGAGCCAGGCAAGATGAAATCCCTGGCAACTTCCCTCTTTTCGCCGTTTATCATGATGTCACCTACTGGTCCATTGGGGGAGGCTTTTGAGTTTCTTTCCATTGAGTTGTTTTTAACCACTTCCCAGTCCCCCTTGCTTGCAGCAAGTATGGCTGTGTCATCCGCCTACTGCAGGTTGTTCACAATGCCACATTCTTCTCCATAAAATTCAGCTTCTCTGGTGATTGCTCAGCATACAGATTGAACAAGGATGGTGAGAAGATTCAACCCTGATGCACACAGCTTTCATTACTTATTTTTTTAAAGTTTTTTCACCTTTCATTATTTTAATCCACACTGTATGCCCTTGTTCTATTCGCATAACTGCCTTTTTATTCATTTGCAGGCTCCGCAGGAGCACAATGAAGCCTTCTGGAATTCCTGTTCTTACCACTATTCATAGTTTGTTATGCTCCACACAGTCGAATCCCTTGCCATAGTCAATGAAACAAATAAACATCTCTCTGCTTTGAGCCAAGAGCCATTTGAAAGCAGCAGTAATATCCCTTATTCCACGCTCTCATCTGAATCCAGCCTGAACCTCTGTCAAAGTACTGCCACAATCATTGTTGGATGATCTTCAGTAAAATTTTACTTGCCTATGATATTAATGATATTGTTCTTCATTTGCGTGCTCTTTTGAGTCACCTTGCTTTGGAATGGGTACAAATATGATGGATCTCTTCTAGTCAGTTGGCCAAGAGCTGTCTCCTAAATTTCCTGGCATAGACGAGTGAGTGCTTCCAGTGCTTCATCAGCTTGTTGAAACACATCAAATGGTATCGCATCAATTCCTGGAGCCTTGTTGTTGGCTAAAGCTCTCCTTGCAGCTTGAATTTTTTCCTGCAGTACCATTGGTTCTTGCTCATATGCACCTCTTGAAATAGTTGAATGTCAATTTGTTCTTTTTGGTACAGTGACTTGTCTATTCTTTCCATCGTCTTTGGATGCTTTCTGCATCGTTCAATATTTTGCCCATAGAATCTCTCAGTACTGCAACTTGTGGCTTGAATGTTTTCTTAAGTTCTTTCCCTTTAAGATATGCTCAGGGTGGTGTTCTTGTGGGTTTTCTAACTATAGGTCTCAGCACATTTCATTATAATTGACTTTGCCTTTTCCAGCTGCCCTTTGAAAGTTTCTGTGCAGCTTTTGGATGTCATCATTTCTCTCATTTGCCTTAACCGCTCTACATTTAAGAACATGTTTCGGAGTCTCTTCTGACATTTACTTTGATGTTTTCTTTCTTTCCTGTCTTTTTCATGACTTCTTTGCTTTCTTCATGAATATTGTTCTTAATGTCCTCCCACAGCTCATCAGATTTCTGTCAGTCATGTTCAGTGTGTCCAATCTGTTCTTGAGATTTCTTGAAATTCAGATGGGATAGACTCAAGGTCATCATTTGTCTCTCGTGGACTTGCTTTAATTTTCTTCCACTTAAACCTGAACTTACATCTGAGCAGTAGATGGTCTGTTCCACAGTCAGTCCTGGCCTACTCTTAGCTACTGATGTGGACCTTCTCTATCGTCTCTTCCTGTGGATGCAGTCCATTTGATTTCTGTGTGGTCCATCTAGCGATGGACTGTGTGGTCCACATGTATAGTCACCGTTTGCATTGTTGAAAAATGGTATTTGCGATGAAGAAGTCCTTGGTCTTGCAGAATTCTCTCATGCATGGCTTCAGCTTTGGTTCTGTCACCAAGGCCATTATTTCCAACTATCGTTCTTTCCTCTTTGTTTCCAACTTTTGCATTCCAATTGCCAATAGCGATCAATGCATCTCGATGGCATGTTGGATCAATTCCCGACTGAAGTTGTTGGCAGAATTCTTGTATTTCTTCATCATGAGCTTTGGCGGTTGGTGCATAAATTTGAATAATATTTGTATTGATTGGATTTCCTGGAAGGCAGACAGATGTCAGCCTCACACATTGTACAAAGCATTATACTTCAAGGTAGATCCTGAAATAGTGAGTGGTGTGTGTCATTTCCTGGACTCCCTGATTCCACCATCTAGAGGGAATGCGTGAAGCTGGCATAGCCCAATTTCTTGAAGTTGCTGTATTTGGGGGGAAAGGGAGGCTGCTTCTGTGATGTCTGATTTAAAGAGGGGTGGGCCAATCCTCAGTTATTTAATAAATTTCCCAAGATGGAGGTTCACATAGTACTCATTTCCCCAATAATGTTTGTAAATCCTCTGAGCACCCTTAACCCGTGACCCTTCAAAGTCTCTCCGAGGCCCCCGTTGGTTGTGACTTACTCCGTTACTGTGTGAGGTTGAGTGGTCCAGACTGACCGGCTGTCTGAAGGAATGAGAGCGGCTATTTACCAAAGACAGGTCTCTTGTTCTGGGAACTCTGCAAAGTACCTCTGTGACAATGGTGGTCCTTGATGCCCACCAGCCCGGCTGTGAGGTAGAGACTATTCTTTCGATGTTTCAGCCAGTAAAACTAAGGTGAAGAGAGGTTCCTTCCAGACAGAAGGTAACGACCCCAGGCTTCAGTCCCAGTTTGGCCAGCTACTCTGCAACAGAACGAGGAGGGATGAGCAGAGTCACAGTTTCAGAAACTGTCCTGTAAACCTGTCACTACGAGTCAGAATCAACTCGATGACAGTGACTTTTGGAGCCTAGCTCACATTAAGGAACCTTGGTCGTGCTGTAGGGACCCTGGTGACATAATGGATTACCCGTTGAGCTGCTAATCTCAAGGTCGGCAGTTCAAATCACCAACCTTCTGCAGGAGGATGATGAGGCCTTGTAGTCCTGTAAAGACCTACAGTCTTGGAAACCCACAGGGACAGCTCTACCCTGTCTTATAGGGTCGCTCTGAGTTGTAAACGACCTCATGGCAGGGAGAGTGGTTTTGAGTTTGGGTTGCGCTGTTGGGAAAGCGATAGAACACAAAGTCAGTGGTTCAAACCCACCAGCTGATCCTCGGGAGAAGATGAGGATAAAAAGCCTATTCTGATTCAATGGTAGTGAATTGGGCCTGTCACACATAACTCCCTTCGGGCCTTCCCATCTGGGGAGAAGCTGGGAAAAGTTTTTTGTGGTCGTTAGGCGCTGTCCAGTCAGTTGTACATTGGGTGGCCTTGAGGCAAAAGAGAGAGAGAACCTCAAGGAGATGGACCAACACAATGGCTGCATGAATGGGCTCAAGCACAACAGCAGTTGTCGGGATGGGGCCGGCCAGGGCAGTGTTTCCTTCCAATGCACATAGAGTTGCTGTGAGTCAGACCCAGCTCAGTAGTTTGTACACTCAGTAGTAGTTGTAACACCAACTGCATCTCTTCAAATACTCTCAGAAACAGGAAAACCCAACTGCTACCCAGTCCATTTCAACACATAGCAACCCTCTGGGACAGAGCTAAAGTGCCCCTGTGGGTTTCTCAGACTGCAGCTGTTTACAGGAGTAGAAAGCCTTTTCCCATTAGCAGCTGCTGGCTTTGAATGGTTGTCCTTGGGGGTTAGCGGCCCAACACATAACTCACTAAGCCACCAGCGCTCCTTAGAAACAGGGTAGTCTACGAAACTCCAGTACATACACATACCCTATACCTTTGGGAAAAGGACCTTGCTAGAGTCGGAAAAGATAATGCTATTCTTCCCAAGCACCTTAACGTGTACACCCTAGCCGATGGCTTGTTTTGAATCCTGCTTTACTTTCCATTCTTGTTTACAACTTCCTGGTTCTCCTACCCTTCGGTGGTCTTAGGTAGGCTACGATCTTCTGAATAACTTGGCAGTTGCTCTGTGTTGTGACTGGAGGGCCTTTTGATATAGTCCATCCCACCCATCTCTCTGGGCACAGGGCCTTCTCTTACAAGAGGATGTGGTCTAGGGGAAATGTACCTTGACTTATGTAATGCAAGTCTTGCTGGGTCGTGGATTTCTATATACTGTGGGACATGTATCTGTAAGGGAATGCTTGTAAGCAAGATACTCAGATGTCTACCTTGTAAGTGCCTTTTAAAGAGGTGACATATTCTGGGTCTTATAATCCCTATGGGGTAAATGGGTTCAATGACCCAAATTTACAGAGAAATAAAGACAGAGACTGAGTTTACCCCATGAGTGGTTTACCCCAGGTCTATGAGAGAGAAAAGTGAAGCTTCTCATCGAATTCGAGGAACAGTAGCACTTAGCTATGCCCAATATCATCTTAAGAATCCCCGGTTGTGCTGTCTAGCCGTAAGGTTGGCTACCAGCCACTCCACAGGAGAACAATGAGGCTGTCTGCTCCTATAAAGTCTCAAAAACCCTATATAGGGTCGCTCTGGAGAGCCCTGGTGGCACAGCGGGTTATGTGGTGGGTTGCTAGCCACAGGTTCAAACCCATCAGCCGCACCCATCCAGATAGATGTACAGCCTCGGGGACCCACAGGAGCAGTCCTACTCTGTCCACAAGGCCGCTATGAGTGGGAATCTGCTGGATGGTAATAATGGGCTAGGGTTTTAGGAGGTTTTCCTACTCCATCCTCTGTCCAGGGTAGACCTTCTTGATTGCCGGGCATGATCTAGGACACAGAAACTCAGATGGGTCCCAGGCCTAGACAGTAAGGTTAGGATGCAGACTTTGAAAGCCTCTGATGAGCACTAGGTCCTTCCAGCTATCAGATAAAACTAGAAATTATATTACCCCAGACTCTTCCAAGTACTTAGGGCATGATTCAGATAGGCCTTTGCAATTTAAGAATGCCCAGCTTCTCTCTCATCTGTAAAGGGTCAGTCATCTAAAAGCGAGCTTTCCCTGTGGGGTAGATCAGTCCTCCTGTTTATGTGACAAAGGCATTGTTTTCCGAGAGGAAGTACTAACCTGCTGAAACAATGACTAATTTGGCAGCTGATCAAGACCAGCTGTCAGCTCGTTGATATCTGTTGCAGCGTTAACCTTCATTCTGTCTGGGTAACATTTCTTTTCCAGGCCAAGGTCATTTGCTTGGCCAGAAGTGCTCTCTGACCACACACCTCTGAGAACCAGTGGGCTCGGGACAGGTGCTTGCTAGTGGTACAAGAGGGACAGAGCTCCGTAAAAGAGTCGGGCCTTGGGGCCTCGGGATTCGATCTGCTCCCTCTTTGCAGCTGCTGCTCACAGAGCCTGCCATGTCATTTGTGGTTGCTCATGCCCACTGTTTCCCAAGGCTGTCACTTTCCATTTGGGGACCTGATCTTGGAGGAGCTGTAAACCCTAAGGCAAGTCTTCTCATTGGATGATCGGCTTCCTTCAAGCATGCTCACTCGGGCTTCAGGCTTTCTCTCATCCCATCCTCATCGTCACCCAGGGAGGGCTTAGGAAACCCCAAGTGCCTTCTTCCGAGGGCAGCAGTGGTGCCGGAACCAGTGGTTCCTGGGACAGTGACGTATGTCTCATCTCAAACAGGTGATGAGCTCATCTTCTTGGACCCTCATAGCACCCAGACCTTTGTGGACATGGAGGAGAATGGACTGGTTGATGACAAGACTTTCCATTGCCTGCAAGCCCCGCAGCGAATGAACATCCTGAACCTGGATCCTTCCGTAGCATTGGTGGGTACTGAAGGTTGGGTGGGCCAAGAGGCCCCTATTACAGATAGGTTCATGAGTTCTCCACCTTGCCGGGTAGGGTAGCAAAGAGTATGGATTTTACCACCTTGTGTGAGAGGTAGTGCCATGTATTGGTAAGAGTAGTGCCATGTATTGGTAAGCAACGGACTTGTGAACCACACTGCTTGAGTTGGGCACTCAGGCTCGGTTCCCTGTTCGCTATGGCCTTAGCGGGAGCCAGCGCACCTGTCGGAGCGCTGATCTTCTCACCTTGACAAAGGAGACTCGTACTGATCCCTTCCTGGTAGGGTTGTCAGGAGGCTGCTGTGAGAGATGACGTGTACAAAGCACTCAGCACAGTGCCTGGCACACAGTGCCCACACTGTAGGTGATAGCTATGATTTGTATTTGTATTTCTCTCCCCTTTTGCGCCTTCTGGCCCTATAATTCTGGCCACCTGGGCACATGGAAGAAGGTAGCGCTTAGCCAGAGAGGGATAAAGGGCCAGCCCCTACCCCTGGCGGGTCATGCCACCTTCTCCATCCACACCACACGAGGAAGTTTTGGGGCTTTATTTAGGCCTGAAAGTGTGTGTGTTGCCTGCACGCATTGAAGGGCAACCTCTGCGAAGGAGCCCGTGGTTCTGAGGCCCGCCTCCTTTGCTTTTTCTGATTGAACGCAACGGCTGGAGCACAAGTAGCTGAGAGCAAGTGGAGCCCTCCTTTTGGGTTGGACCATGATTTCACTAACATCAGCTTGTTTGGGGAGCTGTGGTTGTGTAGTGGGTTACGTGCTGGGTTGTTAACCTTGGGGACAGTGGTTTGAAACCGCCAGCCGCTCCTCAGGAGAAAGATGAGGCTTTCTACGTCCATAGTTAGTCTCAGAACCCACAAGAGGCAGTTGGACCCTACCTAAATGGCTGCTCTGAGTCGGGTTAGAGTTAGACTCAAAGGCAGTGAGTTTGAGGACGGAGAAGGAAGCTGGGTGTTTGCTTGATTCCAAGAGCTAATTTCCGTAAGGTCCAAGCCACCGTAGTAAGTGGTGCCTCCGGCTACAAGTACTACTTTGTTTCTGATTGCTGGCTTATGCCGCGCGTCTATCTGTGTACCGACTGCAAAGGAGTTAACCTCACGCTTTGGAGACTGACCTTAAAGTTACTCCACCTCAAAACATGAGAGGAGAGGGGCAGGGAGGAAGAGAGACAGAGAGGGAAAGAAACGAGGAAAACGGGAGATGGAGGGAGAGAGGCAGAGAGAAAATGAGAGCGAGCAAGCAAGGAAGATAGAGACAGAGAAACAGAGGGCAAGGGGTATTTGAATGCACACACGCGCACAAGAGAGAGCCTATGCACACATGCGCAGTACATTGCGTAAATGAGGTGATGAGCTAGGAGAAAAGCCCAGCTAATCTTCCTCCCAATCTGTGGGAAGACACCCCCCCCCCACGAAAAGAGTGGCCTACATCCTATTTCTAAGCCCACAGCCCCCATCTTCTAATACAGCGGCTCTCAACCTGAGGTTTGCGACCCCTTTGGGGGTCGAACGACACAGGGGTCGCCTAAAGACCATCGGAAAGCACATATTTCCCATGGCTTTAGGAACCGAGACACCGCTCCTCCAGGCAGGTCCGCCCACATGCAGTTACGCCCATACAGGAGTACCCGGCGGGAAGACTGTTACCCATGCTACACCATGCTTCAAGACAAAATTTCATTTATTTGTCATTAGACATAAATATGTCACAATATATAATTGCATACTGTTTTGTGCTGAACTACTCTGCTTTAATTATATTCAATCTGTAGCAATGAAAATATATCCTGCCTATCAGATATTTACATGACGATTCATAACAGTAGCGAAATAACAGTGATGAAGTAGTAACGAAAGTAATTTGATGGTTGGGGCTCCCCCCACCACATGAGGAGCGGTATGAAAGCGTCCAGGCCTTAGGATGGTGGAGAACCACTGCTCTAAGACAAAGCTTGGTACCTGGGGCCGATTCTAAGTCGTGTTTTTTGCTTCCCCTCTCAAGGGATTTTTCTGCAAAGAAGAAAAGGACTTCGATAACTGGTGTCGCCTTGTTCAGAAGGTAACGGTCGGTACTCGTCTAATGAAGTTGCTTTTCAGATCGTTTTTTCATAACAGCACAGACTTGGGGGGGGGGGGGGAATGAAGGCAGCAAAAACACCTCTGAGAGCCAGGGGCCTTTTGCCTAACTTGGGGGGGAACCAGAGTAAAATATGCCTGACATAGGCTCAGGATGCCAAGCAAGCACTATTCTTAACTGCTTACTGCTTTATTTGATGAAGCTAACGAGTGAGTTGATGTATTGCGTCATACAATAATCAACTGATTATCTACTCATTTAACCTGAAAGATGCTAAATGCCCTTCAGCTCCGCACTTTGCATAGAAATCCACTCGACGACAGTGTTTAGGGTCCATACATCCTTACTCTGTTTCCAACACTGAGGTGATTGAAGACAACGGTACAGCTTATCTCTTCATGTGGAGGCCCATTTACAGCCTAATACATCTGCTCATGGTTTTGAGACTTGCTTATTTAGTAACTATCTACTTTAGGTTATGCGTTGGGCTGCTAACTACCAGGTCAGCAGTTTGAAACCACCAACTGCTCTGCAGGAGAAAGATGAGGCTTTCTACTCTCATTGAAGAATTACAGTCTTGCAAACCCATGGGGGCAGTAAAACCCTGTCCTATAGGGTCACTATGACTTGGAATCAACTCCATAGCTTTGTGTATGTGTTAAGCGAATATCTAAGTGGTACAATTGGTTAGGTACTGGGCTATTGGAAATCAACTCCATGGCGGTTAGTGATTGAGACTAGCTAAAAAGTTAATGGTTCCAAGCCATCTGAAGGCCTGCTGATCTGCTTCTGAAAGATCACAGCTTTGAACACCCTGAGAGCCAGTTCCGCTCCACACACTTGCAGTCACTATGAGTCACAATCGACTCAGTGGTAACAACAACACAGACACAGGACCTCTTATAGGAAACACCATTTGCATCAATCCTTCTACATACAAAAGCTCGTTATTATTATTTCCCTTTTGCATCTTATTGTGTACATAGACCTCATTTCTCTGACTCACCAATCGCTGTGTCTGCCTCCCTCAGTGTCAGCCTCTAGCATGTGCCTACTATGTGGAGGAGATTGATACATGTTTATTGAAAGAATGAAGGGAGAGCAGAGAGAGTAGTGTGCAAAGCCAGGGATAAGGGAGCGGGTAGGAAACCTGATGTAAAGCAAAGGGAATGCAGAGGTTGGAGCCCCTTGTAAGTGTGAGGAGGGATGACTTGTCTTCACAAGTGGACAAATCATACGTCCATCCCCCGTTGGACCCCGAAGCTCCAACGAATCATCAGCTGAGAGTGAATTGAGAATTCTTGTCTCGAATGCAGGGGGATTTTATTGTGTTACAATTAAAGTTAGAGAATTTTCTGATAAGACTATGCCACTTAAATGAGAACCTATCCCGTAAACGGGGAACTAAAATTGTGAAACTATGCGGAACCTGGAAAACAAAACAAAACAAACAAAAAACATCTCTTGGGTCAGGTTCACTTTAGTTAGCTAACATTTCCTGTGGATCACCACTTCCAGAATATCTGCCCCCTAACTTGACCTGGGCCTGTACACACAGCCTGAACCTCACAGTGGAGCATGGGTAATGACTACTGATTGTCCATCAGCTGCTCCCTCCATTGCCCTTATTTCTGGATTCACGGTATCTAGAATTGATGGTCCAAGAAGGAGAGAAGCTGTGCTTCCTAGGCCTTTGTTTTTAACCTTTCAACAGCTAGACCGTTTTCTGAGGCTTTAGGATCACAGATGGCCAATTGGATAGAGGTTACCACACAGAACTATAGTAACTCTCCAGTGCTTTCAACTGTTTCTGTGTCTCCTCAGGAAATCCTAAAGGAGAATTTAAGGATGTTTGAACTAGTTCAGAAGCATCCATCACACTGGCCGCCCTTTGTACCGCCAGCCAAGCCAGACGTGACAACCACTGGGGCAGGTAAGCCGTTGTTCACGGCCAATTGTGGCTTCAGCTTTCCATGGAAAATTCCATTTCTCCTCTGCTCGACTGGCCAACGAGTGCTGTTTCTGAGTATTGTAATCTTCTGGTGAACTGATACTTAGCAATTTAAAAACATGATAATACGGGGAAAGAGGCTATGTGCTAAAGGTCTATGCAAAATCATAATGATGAAGATTCTTTCCCCCATGGTCTGGCTCAGAGTAACAAACCAGTGGCCATAAGGTATCTCAAAGGTTTTAGAGAACTTCAGCCTCAGCATTGTGGCAAGGAGAATGTGACGAGTTCTCAATTTTTGGATTCTTTATGGAGGATTTGTAACACTTAGCGGTATCCCTAACACATTTTCCTCCAGACATGTTCTTCTTCAGTGAAGTCATTGAAAACATTACAGTCCTAAGCTTCAGCCGGCCTCACTTTTTTCCCCCTTCTCCCTTCTGTATTTGGATAGAATTCATCGATTCTACTGAACACCTAGATGAGTTTGACCTGGAGGAAGATTTTGAGATTCTGAGCGTCTAGAATCATGGGAACTGAACTTGGAGCTCTGTCTTTCATCTGGCACCATATGAACATGAACTCATTACAGAAAACGTTTCCAGTCAGCAAGTGCCTGATATGCCAATAGCATACAAATTGGTAGCAATCATGGCTGAGCCAATCAACCTTTTTCAGGAAGAAAGAAACAACCCCAACCCAGCGATAGCCCTTCCCCAGAGCGTATGAGCATGCCGTAGTTGGGGAGACCAGGAGCAGAGAAACTAAAGAGGCTCCCCAGCTTGTCTTCATGTGGCTAAAAGTCTCCAGTAACTGGAAGGAGGAAGCAGACGTCTTAATAGAGACGGCAGTTCACATCTTGCTTCAAACACTAGCAAATGAGATAGTTCCTCCGGTTCCTTCACCTACTCAGGTGTGGCTTCTTTGGGGCTAAAAACTATGAAGCAATCGGTTCACTTGGTCAAATAATTTATTGAACTAATCAGGAAGAGAGAAAAAAAGATTGTTCGATGTATTTTTAAAAAACAACAATTTATATCCAAAAAGAGTGTCCAAGGAAGTGCGTCAAATTGTACATTTCTGATCCCCTTCCTCTTTGGAGGCGCCTTACGGAGACGGGAGGCCTGGTGGTCGAGGGGACGATGGGTTGGGCTACTGACTGCCCCGTCAGCAGTTTCAAGCTACCAGTTGCTACTTGGGAGAAAGATGAAGGTTTCTACTCCCGGACAGAGCTATAGTCTCTGAAACCCAGAGGCAGTTCTGCCCTGTCCTAGAGGGTTGCTATGAGTTGGAATCGATTTGATGGCAGTGCATTTAGGGGTTTTTTTTGGCTTAACTAATTGATGGGTCACTGTCGCTATCCTTTCTGAAACTTTTGTCAGCTATCACCCTGCCCTTCAATCAAACCATGATTGCTGAAATCAGGGGTGAGTCAACTTTTTCTGTAAAGGGTAAGATCATTTCTATTGTAAGCTTTGCAGGCCAAGTGGCTTCTGTCACTAGGACTCGACTCTGCTGTTCTAGTGCACACGTGGTCATAGGCAATATGCACGCAAACGAGCGTGGCCATCATCCAATCAAACTTTATTTACAAAAAGAGGTGGTGGGCTGGGTTGAGCCTGCTGGTTGTAACATTGCCAATCACTGACTTAAAGAGTTGATTTGTTTTGTTTGAGCAATTGAAAATAAACCATGTTTGAATTCGACTTCATGTTGTTTGCCAACTGCATTTCGAAGACGGATTCATGAGGTGGCATTTTCTCCATACATTCAATATAATTCCAAACCATTTCAGAACTAGCAGCACAGTCAGCGTTAGAACACTTATCCAACAAATTTGCTTTGCCAACCACTCTTCTGCACAGTTACACCTCAAGTCCTAGTAATGGCTTCCTGTTGTCTTTACCTAGCTTGCTTAGGAATTTCACCTCCACCTCAGCCAACTCCCAAGGAAGCTAGCAACTAGGGTCTAGAACGTTAGAGCATTTGGTCCAGTATAATCCTTGTTTTTTCTTTTTCGCAAGAAGTAATACATTCCAGGGGTTCAGAATTCAAAATATATAAAACGGTATTCAGTGAAATGTCTCTCCCACCGCCTAGTTGCCTTCCCTGAAAGCTCCCAGTGTTATTATCCCTTTCCTGTTTATCCTTCCGGAGGATATAATTTGTATTACTAACCTTTAGGTAAGGAGTGCTAGTGATACAACAATTATGCGCATACCTAGCCACTGCCTGGGGGAAGGATCTGGCATTCTGCTCCTGGCAAGATTACAGGCAATCTCCTATGAGGTAGTTCCTCCTCTGTCACATGGTGGCGCTAGGAGTCAGAATCAACTGGCAAACTTATTGCATCACCCAGAGAGCTTCTAGAATTTACACGCTTGCACACGCATACAAACAGAGCCCTGGTGGTTCAGTGAGTTAAGTGTTGGGCTGCAAACCCACAGGGTCCGCAGTTCAAATCCATTGACCCCTCTATGGGAGAAAGATGAGGCTGTCTGCTTGTGTAAAGTTTTACAGTGTAGGGAACCCCAAGGAGCAGTTTTATTCTATCCTATCTGATTGTTAGACATTGGAATCAACTTGTTGGCAGTGGGGTTGAGTTTTCGGTATTTGGTTACACACACACACACACACACACACACACACACACACACACACGTGAGGGAGCTTCAGAAATGTTGTGGGAAAATGACATTATCTTTTCACTCCAGTTTCCCACAAACAATTTGAAGTCCCCTCATATAGATATATGAAGTAAACCTAAAAAATATATGTGTAACTTATATCTGATTTGAGTGACTAATTTTCTTTTTTACTTGCTTTATCTGTGAGTGATCCTGAGGTGACAGACATATGGGGAACTCTTTTCTTGAACTCTAGCATGTGATGGGGAAAGGTAAGTGGTGAGCTTATCTTGAAGCAAGATTCTGTAACCGTTTCAATCACCATTGAACTTGTTGTCTGCCTCAATCTTTTATTACAGAACTTGGCTTGTAGTAATCAGGACCACTTAGGCTCTGAAGGGGACCCGGGAGTTGTGTTCGAGATGAGCTGTAGAAAAACGTTCATCAAAGAATGTCAAGAGCGTCAAATGATCAGGTTTAATGCCTTTTATTTGCTATGTACAAGACGGGCAGCATACTTGTGACGTAACGTTCATTCCCACTATGATGGTTATGCTCTGTCTGTGTTGACATAATGGACAGAGTACGCAAGGAAACAGAAACACCTGGAAGGAGTTGCCTCCTGTCAACCAAACAAGGAGTCTTCTGGGAATCTGGTAATTAAAGAAAATGGATCAAACAAATGCTCCCCAAACAGAACACAATACACTTTATAGCCAACTCAGCCTGGCTTTCCGTCTGCGAGCTCCTAAGGGGAAGAGTAAGCTTGATTTTGACAGAAGTTTCAAAATGCATGCCAAGGGTTTAACAGAGTCCTGTGAAACAGCATTTGGATAGAAGCCTTTAATGGAGTGTCTCTACCAGCCTCAGGCTGCAGAGGAATCCAAACCGTGGAGCTTCCCTTTGCCACAATACATATGCACATTGAGATGGCCTTTGGGATACACTGGGACTGCTGAGAAATTGGGATAAGGAATTGCCTTTTTTTGTTCCTGGAGTCCAAGGGAAAATTCACACCTCCTTCTGCACCCCCTTCTTGAGTTCCGGCCCCAGGAAAAAGAACTGTGATTCTCATTTCTTTTGCAAGAGCCTGGCAGTATTTGTGGTGTCCTCTGCCCTGCTGTGGACCAGGCCAAGTTCTCTCTGTCTCTGGCGGGGGAGAGAGCCAGCCCAGAGGAAGTCATTTGTGTGGGGCCATCTGAAGTTAATGAGCGCTTCTCGGTTGTTGGCCAGCCTTCAGTCTTCCCTAAGCAATATGGGACGAGCAACAGACTCACTCACTCACCTCCCTCGCTCCCTCCCTCCCTCCCTCACTCTGGCAGGAGTCTCAGCTCATCCCAGGCTACTGGCAGGCACCTCAATTTAGTTCTCTTGCCTGCCTAGACACAGTGGGCTTCCTTGAAGGGTTGGGGCTCAACCTAGGTAGCTTTGAATGATCCCTGAATGTGTTTTTGTTTTTGTTTTGTTTGCATGTAGAAACACTGGTTTAAGTAAATAATGTGTGGCGATGTTTGGACATGAAGACAGCTCACAAGCGAGTTTGGAAGAGATTTCTGACCCCATAAGTCTTTCTGAGGTTGCCCTTGAAAAGGTGTGCAAACATCCCGATCGCCAGAGCACCAAGTGGAAAGAAAGGGCTCCTGGATTGGGTCCAAGCCCAGGTGAGACTCCACAGTAAAACTTGACCGATGGACCAAACAAAGGATCTTCCTTCTTCAGAGTATTCAGGTTGGCGAGGTGACCGCTGTGAGGGGGAGGGGAGGGCAAAGGGCAGAAGGGCAGGTGCTGCCTTACAGATTTTTCATGCACACCTGGCAGCGGCTGACCCGAGTGTGGAGCTGTCCGGCTTTCAGGGTCTCAGGCACGGGCCCCTCCCCAAATGGCTGCCTCTGCTCCACTGCTGTCAGCCAGAAGCTGTACTTGTTGGCAAAGTAGTGACAGGTACCCCGGGCGCCATTGCACTCGATGAAGGGAGTGGCCCGGAAGTCTTGGAGGCAGGAGCCAGGGGAGACCAGGGATTGGCCTCCGCCCTCGGCCCCCGCAGCAGTGTGCTGAAACAGAGAGGAGGGGGGCGGGGTTGTGACCTGTGTGTGCCTGCCAGGCAGAGGCTGCCCTGGGCAAACAATTAGTAAGCACTGGTTCCTGGGTTCAGTTCCAGCATTTAGCCTAAGGGAGAATACACACACACACACACACACACACACACACACACACACACACACACACATACATCCATATATATATGGATATAAAATATATATATATATTTTTTTTAATTAAAAAATCATTTTATTGGGGGCTCTTCCAGCCCATAACAATCCATACATCATTTATATCAAGCATATTTGAGCATATGTTGCCATCATTATTTTCTAAACATTTACTTTCTATTTGAGCCCTTGCTATCAGTTCCTCTTTTTTCCCCTTCCCTCCCCTGCTCCCACCCTCATGACCCCTTGATAAATGATTATTGTTTTCATATCTGATACCGCCCCCACGTTTCTGTGGTTCGTCTTAGTGAAGTGTTTGCCCTTCTTTCCTGGTCTCGGAGGCATACAGAAAAGAATGGTAGGAGCGGTGCTTCTGCTACATTGGGGTAAACTGCCCAATTCACAGACAGAGCCAAACCAGGAAATGCTGAACTCCATGGTATGGGGTGAATTGTAGCCTCCCAAATGCCATGTTCGTGACACACATATCCCTGCCCCAGTACCTCAGAGAGCCCTGATTTGGAAATAGAGCTTTTTTGTGTGGACATAATCAAGTTAAGATAAGTTCCTCTTTAAGGTCAGGGATGATGTGGGCCCATCCAGTGCGGGTACCCTTACAAAACAGACGGAACGATGGAGGCAGGCCCCCGGGAAGGAGGCCTGCGACTACAGAGGCAGAGAGTGAAGTGATGCCTCGCGAAGCCAAGGAAGCCAGCAGGTGCCAGCAACTTGACTAGGCGGCCTGGTCCTGTGCTTCTGAGCCGTCCCGTTGGTAGAGCTTTGTGACAGCAGCCACAGGAAACACGGACGCCCCAGGTAGGCCCACTAATGTGTGGAAACCTGAAGCTTTGATACGTTCAAAGACACTTCCTCATTGTTAAACTCAGGCCTTTGTATCCATAGTCAGAAAGTGCTGCTCTTAGGATTCAAGGCCATTATCCTTGGACTTGGCAAAGCAGTCCTGGAGAGGCAGCATACTTTCGTTAGTGGGTGTGTGCTGGTCAATGTTATGTGTTAACTTTGGCTAGGCTATGATTATCAGTGGTTTGGTAGGAGGTTTGTCATCTGATGTGAGCAGCCAATCTGTGGAAGGGGAATTTCCTTGGGGGTGGGGCCTACCGCTTGCATAGAAATCAGGTGGGGATTGTTCAGCTTGTGGGCCATATAAGCGCCGCAGAATCGTCAAGACCAGTTAACATCACACACTTCACCCAAGAGAAACAGTTCCAGCAATCACATTCGGGGGCGAGGTAATGAACTGTTTGACCAGTGTGGCCCATGAATAATGTTATAAATATCCAAATGGCCCTTGGCAGGAAAAAAGAGGTCCATCACTTCTGAATTGTAAATGAATGTTCTGGCAAACCTTCCACACTTTCTGTGGATCCCGCAATCTTTTCATGTTCTGACATCTCTGGGGGAGAAAGAGGAGGCTTTCTACTCCCATAAAGAGTTACAGTCCCAGAACCCCACAGGGGCAGTTCGACCCTGTCCTATAAGGTCGCTATGAGTCTGCATGGACTTCATGGCAGCAAGTTTGGTTTGATTTCCTTTTCTAAGGAGCTCTGGTGGTTTAGATGTTGGGCTGCTACCTGCAAGGTCGGTGGTTCAAACCCACCAACCACTCTAAGGGAGAAGGCTGACGCTGGCTGCTCCAGTACAGATTTACAGACTCAGAAACCCTATGAATGGGATTAGACTCAACGGCAGTGGGTATTCGTTTGAGTCTTTTCTTTCTGGTGGCTCCCTGTACCCCTTGCCTGTGGCAGACCTCCTGTTGTGGGGGACCACTCCCTCCACACCCTGCACATGGCTGTCAATGTATTGGCCCCCATAGCAGTGCTCATATCTATTTCCTGGCCCAATCCCAAGTTCCCCCACATTCTTGACAGGGCCCGATGTCTCCCTGGGCTTACAGATGTTCAAAACTCTCTTAGCAAAGCAACACCACACTCCTGCCCACAGTCTTCCCGCCACATGGAAAGGCAGTGAAAATTCCAACCAGACCATCGAAACACTGTGCTCCAGAGAGTGTTCGAGGCCCTGTGTGGGGACAGCCTCTCCCTCGCTAGCGACCCAGACATTTCTGTGTTGCCATCTTCTCCTGGTAGAAGCACGCATGGAGAGGATGCTAGGGTCTTTGACTATGACTCACGGAACCACTGGGTGCAAATTTCTTCCTCTGACCTAGGCCCACAATTTGCTGCCCTTCATGCAGAATTGGGTACTCTGGTCTTCAACCAAGTCCAGGCCAACCAGTTTCCTTCCATTCAAACTCCCTGCAGGTCATATTATGACTACGATTTCGGTTGAGCTTGGGATACCAATTTGATGGAACCTTCCAGAGTTCCCTGCCTGCCACCACCACCACCACCCCCACTGGGATAGGAGGAGTGCCAGGCCTTACCATGAGGAAGGAGTACCCAATCCAGAGGCTGCGCCAACCCCGGGGGCACTGTGGGATGGTGACGTCCTGGCTGTGCACAGCAATGGCTTGCGAGGGTGCCTCACATACTGCGCAGCGGCTGATGTATTGTGGAATCTGGGTCTGGCCGACGGGCATCATGGGGATGGGGGCGGTGGTGGAGAGCCAGTAGGACTTGTCATTGCGCCTGGCATAGTGGCACACTTCATTGATGTTGCAGTAGATGAAAGGCATGATGCTGAAGCGTGGCAGGCAAGAGCCGGCAAAGCCTGGCAAGGAGAGAAGGTGGACGGGGCAGATCAGGGCCGGGTGAGGAGCAGGCTGGGATTCTCTCCAGGACCACCGCATGGTGGTTGAAGTTTACACCCAACCGCATCTACCAAGCCAGGGTACTCTCTCTTTACAATCCTGTAACTGCCACATGCTGAAGTCAGCTGATTCAATTCAAATCCTCCCCCAAACAGACAAACGGGGAAGTTGGATAATGGAGAGAATCATATATACATGATTTTGTGCATATATATCTATATATAAATAGATAGATATGTCTATACACACACACACACACACACACACACGCACACACTTAGAGGCAATCTATTAAATGGCAGTTTGATTAAGCAAATTAATCAGGGAGGTATTCCATTCCACATTTATATTTAATTATAATTTATATTTATATAAATGTGTTTTAATACAAATATAAAATTATATTTACATATAAGTATATAAAAGATAATCTATTAATAGACATAATGTGTATATATATTAATTTTCATATGTATTAAAATTTATACAAACATACATATTTATGCAAGCATTTGTATTTATGTAGGAATATTCAGACAAATCTTTTCATTTATATCTATATTTACTTTTATAAATAAATGAAATGTGGGATGGAATGATGCCTCCCTAATTAATCTGCTTCATCAAACCTCCATTTAACAGATTGCGTCTAAGGGTCAGCACACCTGGAGACAATACAATTAGTTCTTAGGTAACCATCTAACCAGCATTGCCCAGAAGGCTCTCTTACTAGTGCTAACGATTGGTAACATTTTGTGGGTGGGTAAGAAGTGCCAAACGTTGCTCTAAGCATTTTAAACCCAGTGATTCATTGTAGACTCACACCACCCTATGGGATTCGTCTTGCTCTACCTAGGAGGAAGCTAGGATAACATGCCCAGAGCACGCAGCTAGGAAGAGGTAGAGCCAGGATTTGAACCATGATCTGCCAGGGCTTGAACCCAAATCAACACACGACACAACAGCAGGCTCATTGAGGGGAAGGAGGGGAGAAAAGGTGGATTTTTGATCCCCATGGGGCAGGTGGCCCCGGCTGGATGCCAGAGCAGGAACCTACCCAAGTCCTGGTTGTGGGCTTTCTCCTGGCCCTCCACGAATAGCAGGCTGTACCCCACCCACAGCTGGTTCATCCCGAGGGGGCACAGGGGGACTTGATCCGACTGACTGTGTTTCACCAAGGTGTAGCCCACGCTCACGCTCCGGCCATGCACTCCAGGTCTCCCAAAGGGGCCCCGCTTCCCTGGAGCTCCTGAGAGGGAGAGAACACAGACAGAGGTAAGTCTGAAGCTGCTGCTGTCCGTACCCATAAACATTTACAGTCTCAGAAACCCTAAGGAGCAGGTCTCTTCTGTCCTGTTAGGTCACCTTGAGTCGGAATCGAGTCAATGGCAGTAGGGACTCCTTTGTGTCCAGTAGTGTTCAAAGCACATTATGTACAGGTATCGTCCCACTCAATCCTCACAACCAGCCTGAAGTGCTTCTCTGACTATCCCAGGTGTGATGAGGAAACTGAGGCTCAGCATTCTAACTGGTTAGTAACTGGTGGAGCTGGGTTTCTAACTCGAAAATAGCGGGCTGCAGAGCCCCTTTGAGCAAGTATGCTATCCTGCCTCCTCTCACCGTCACCAGAGTGGGGAGAAGAGGTGGGGCGAGATACTCTGTAGGTCCAGTCTTCCGCACCAGGAGAGGGGACAGCTTGGCTGCTCGATACCGTTGAGTCCAGTTTTAACTCACAGCAACCCCATGTGACAGAGTCCAACTGCCCTGTGGGGTTTTCTACTCTGTAATCTTTTATTTTAGTGGGGGCTCTTACAGCTCTTATCACAATCCATACATCTATCCATTGTGTCAAGCACATCTGTACATTTGTTGCCGTCATCATTTTCAAATCATTTTCTTTCTACTTGAGCCCTTGGTATCAGCTCCTCTTTTTCCCCCTCCCTCCCCCATAAAGCCTTGATAATTTATAATTTTTTTATGTCTTACAGACTGCTGTCTCCCTTCACCTACTTTTCTGTAATCTTCATGGGAACAGATTGTCAGGTCTTTCTGTGTGTGCACAAGAGAGATGGAATGGAGGTGGAGGTGGAGAGTGAGAGAGAGAAGCTCTAGTGATACAGTCGTTACTGATTGGACTGCTAACTGCCAGGCTGGTGGTTCAAAGTCCAGCCATTCTATGGGGTAAGCGATGAGGCTGTCTTCTCCTGAAGAGATTTTCAGTCTTGGAAACACTCAGTGGTTCTACTCTGTCCTGTAGAGTCACCACGAGTCAGAATCAGCTCAATGGCAGCGGGTGTGGTTTTCTTCCACAGAACTAGTGGGTGAATTTGTACTGCCAGCCTTTCCGTTTGTAGCTGTGCACTTTCCTAGGGGGAAAACCACTTCCTGGGAACCAAACCAGAGAAAAATAGAGTTAAGATGCAAACAAAACAACTCTGTCTCATAGCCACTCTATGGACGCACAATGACCCTATCAGAATAGAACTGTGCTCCATAGGGTTTGCCTGGACTTTATTCTGAGGCACTGCTGGGTAGACTCATACTCCAACCTGTTGGTTAGTAGCCAAGTGCATTAACATTCTAAGTCCCAAACCAAACCCACTGAGGCAGGTCCAGCTGATAGCCACCCTCTAGGACAATGGAGAACTAACTGCATTCCTTAGGTTTCCAAGACTTTACGATAAATCTCTAGGGGGGCCAGAAAGTCTCATCTTTCTTCTGTGTTGCAGCTGGTGGGTCAGCAGCTCAGTGCTCTAACCAGGGCTCTGGCAATAGCAAAATCTCTCCTCTCCTGCCCATGGTAGACATTGCTAATCCATTACTCCATTTTCCCACCAAGCCTACTGGACTCTATTTAGGACAACTGATTTGTCAGCCTGGATGTGAGTTATATAGAAGAGTCACTCCCTTCCACTCATATCAGAATCCCTGAGTAGAAAAAGGGAGGTGCATGGTAAGGGGCTGGAAGGCAGAGCTGCAAGGGATTCGGAGCAGTCCTTGGTCTTTAGAATGCTGGGTGTCCTTTCACAGGATGTGCTCGGTTAGCCTCCCAGTGTCCAGCTCCATCACGTGGTGTATTAGCGCTCAGCTTTGAGCTTTTGTCACTTCGAGCCCTATGACTCAGAAGCTCCCTACCCACTAGTGTTGACATCACCAAACCTTCCAATCCAGGAGGGCCTTGCAGTCCAGGGACACCAGGATCACCAAGAACCCCAGGCGGGCCTGGGAACCCGCTGGGACCATCTTTGCCAGAGATGCCAGGTAAACCTTTGGCACCTAGAAGGAGAGAGAGAAGGCGCAGAGAAGGGGGCTCTGTTGACAGTCCTGAGGCCTCATGAAAGAGGCCTTGAGTGTCATGCCCCTGACTCACCAGCAGAGGGCGAACAGGCTATCCAAATAGGGTTGCAAAAGCAGCTGCTGACTGAAGACAGCACTCTGAACCCCTCACATCACTCGTTCCTGCCCTTTCATGCTTCAAGCAGCACAACAAATTGCGCAGGGCTCAGACGACAAGTGTATTCCACTCAGTGCAAAGCTTGGATGAGAAGCCTCATTTCTTCTCCTGCAGTCCAGGGCTTTCCCCCCATCCCTCATATTGCTCATAACCCACCACACACTCCCCCCTTCTACTCAGCAGCACTCAGAGAGGAACAGGATGTCGGAGTAGCTCCCAGGCTCTGCCCACAAATTCTCTCCAGTCAAGTGCAGCCACTGCCCTGCGGGTCCTGCTGGTCGGTCCCTCTTCTCTTGACTAGAAGTTTGGGAGCCTCCTTCCCGGAGGAAATGCTTGTTCAAGGCGTCCCCTTGTAGCTGGGATGCCAAGCCCAAGAAACCCCTATCTCTACTCTCCCCTCACCTTGTCGGCCTACAGGGCCTTGAACTCCAGGCTCCCCCACAAAGCCAGGGATGCCATCGATGCCCGGTAGACCCAAAGATCCCGGAGGAGCTTGGACGGTTTCTGTGATTGGTGTTTGTCCAGGAGCACCTTGGGGCCCAGAAAAACCTGTGGGTAAGGGGGGAAATGAAAATAGCAGACTAAGGCAGAGGAAGAGGCTGCAAGGTGTGGTGTGTGTGTGTGTGTGTGTGCACGCTTGAGCGTGCACATATGTACGTGTGTGGTGTGTGTGTGTGTTTTCAAGAGCCTTCCTTTCTGCCAAGCACCCAGAAGCACTTTGTGTTAGTCTCCACAGATGCCATATCTGCAGAATGGTGCTCTCCAACCTCTCTACCCATCTAGCTCCTGAGTGGATTGCCAGCTCCTTGAGGGCAGGCATTGCTTTATTTTGTCTCCCCAGGGTGTAGCCCAGGGCCTGCTATGTGTCAGGCAGTTGGGTAGTGTCTGCTGTACATAAGGCAGGCCGAAACTCTGCTCAGGGCTAGGGCGGCTGGCTTGCTGACTTATTGGCCAAAAGGCACTGGTAAAGAGACTGTGGGAATGTGTCCAACCAATCGCAGAGGCACAGCTGGCATCATCGCCTAGGCTCCCCACCCCTGCCAGCTGCTTAATGAAGAAAAGGCCAACGTGCCAACTCACTTTCTAATTCAGTGAAAGGAATATCGGCTAGGGGGACAGCAGTGACTTTGACAGACTCTATGGTCATTTGTGGTCGAGTGATAAATAAGGGTAGAAAAGACATAATCTGACAGATTTCATCATCTTCCTGCCAGTAAGAAATACCATGAAAGAAACCAAGAACATTGCTATCCGTTGGGGGAGAGGGGAACCAAGGAAGTATGAGTTGGAAGAACCTGCTGGGGGTGGGGGTGGGATCAGTACCTCTCCTCAGAAGTGACTTTAAAGCATTAGCGGGAGCTAGCCACTTGAAGAACAGAAAGTAGAATTGACATGTGCAAAGGTCCGGGGGCAGCAGAGAGTTGAACATTTTTGGCTAACCCAAAGGGGCCAGTATGTCCGAAGCACAGTGTGTGCCAGAGGAAGAGGCCTGGCAGTGAAGGTTAAGAGGAAGGGCCCACAGAAGGTTTTGTGAACTCGGACGTGGATGCCAAGGAGCACTGTGTCTGGTCTGTGTGAGTGGTGCTGGGGAGACGGGAAGGCCAGGTGGCATGGCATTGCAGTGGCTCACATAAGATATGATGGTAGCTTGAACCTAGGGAGTAGTGGTGGAGGCGATGCGGGGCACATGGAGGCAATGCACATTTAGGGGGCACAGCCGTCAGGACTTACTAATAAGTTGAATGGTGTGTGGGTGTGTGTGAGTGGGTGTTCTGGTAATGAATAAAGGCTGGTGTGTCCTTTCTGGATTGAGCTAATGGGTGGCTGGGGATCTGTGTGTGCACACCCCCCTCCCACCCAAACGCAGATGGAACACAGAAAGGTGAGGTCGATGGCAGGCTGCATGGCCACAAAGCAGCAGTGGCCTTCAGTCCGGGGAGACTATGGAGGCAGAGAAATCCTCAAAGGGGGGAAACCTTTTCCTTGGGGGGGCTGGGGCTGGCTGCTTCAGGCATCAGGTGAGGTGACTGCTGCCAGAATCCTAATGCGAACATCTTGCCTTCGAGCTCAGAGCCAGCCCAGTACAGGCTCCGCACTTACCTCTTGGCCCTGCCTTCCCCTTCAGCCCAGGAAGTCCAGGGTCTCCAGGTGGCCCAACTTTGCCTGGAGTGCCCATGACGCCGGGCTCCCCTCTCATGCCTGGCAAAGTGCAAAGGGAAGTGCGTCAGGGCTGAGAGCAACAGGGAAGCACAGGGGGCGGGGTGGTGGTGTGAGGTAGGGAAGACCCGCAGCAGCTTGCCATCCTCACAGGCCTGTGGCCAGGAGGCAGCTGTGACCATGGAGTGACCATCAAGCAGCCATACCTTTCAGCCCCAGCTCGCCAGGGGGGCCCAAGAAACCTGGGCTTCCTTGGTCTCCCTTGAGCCCTGGAAGACCAGGAATTCCTGGGAAACCAGGCTCTCCAGAGTCACCTTGATCCGAGGATGGCCCGGGGGGACCTGAGGGCCCTGGGGGGCCTGGGCGGCCTAGGGAGAAAACCAGTGTGGGATGATGAGCGGGTGAGCAGGAGGTGAAGGCCTTGGGACCAAGAGGAAGCCCAAGCCCAGGGTGCCTGTGGGAGTTTAGCACCCAGTCCTCCCAACCCCCTTTAGTACAATGCAGTCAGTCCCTGTGTCCCTGCCGGGGGAGTGATGTGAGACCAAGCAGGGTCACGTAGATCCAGTATGAAGGACCTGGCTGGACCGTACCCATGGCCTCCAAAGCTGCTGGCCAAAGGTCTAGGCCGTCTCTCTTTCGGGCTTCCTGTCTTAACTTCAAAGAGACCCTGGGGGTTTCCTCCGCTGGAACTATCTCCCGGAGCAGAGGGTCTCCTTGTTCTCCCATGGAGTGGCTAGGGGGTTCGAATTAGTGACCTTGTGCTTTGCAGCCCAGCAAGAGACCCACTAGACCACTGGGGCTGTGGGTCAGGATTGACTCTGATGGCACTGTGTTGGCTTTGGGTTTGGTCTTTACCTCGCTCTCCATCTAGGCCGGGCCGCCCGGGGTCACCAGGCTGTCCTACTATGACTGAAGGCAAGGAGATGCCTGGGGCACCAGGGAGACCAGAAGGGCCAGGGAGACCTGGGAATCCTGCAAAAGATAAACAAAAGGGGTTGGATGGGCTCTGGGTGTTCAGGACAGGGAGAGAGGACCACATTCTGTCAGAAACAAGGACATTCACATCAAGAGAACACAAGTCCTTAGGGAGGAGCCATACCAGAGATTACCAGCAGAGGGCGCTACCTCCCCTCACGCCACCTTCCTTCCCTGAAGGAACAGACAGAACTGACAATGGTTCAGAAACATCCTCTCTGTCTGCTCAGCAGGAGCTACTTTTTATTGAGCCAGAACTTGGAAAGGTTTAGCTCCCCAATATTTTTTGCTGTAGCATGCTTTCTACAATTCAGAGAGGAAAGAAGGCCTGATTACAGCACTTGGAATTTAGATATCCCCACGTATTTTTTAGACCTACTATCTGCCATCAAAACGCATTTCATAAATTAGCCAGTTGTGTCTGTTTCTCCACAAACGTAGTGATAGGACCCAGGCCCCACTAGTCAGAATGGACACCAATCAGCATGGAGACCAGTGAGGACCTTGTGGCTCCCAGTACCTTCTAGGGCTAGCGGCAAACTGGAAAACAATGATTATGAGCTAATCCCAGTTGCCAGTGGGATGAATGCTTTCCACAAAAGCTACCGATCAAACAAATTGCCCTGTTCAGAATTTACCACCTCCACCTCCACTTTTTTTGGGGCACAAGAGAATCACCATTTATCAACGTACACACAAAATGCTTGTTTTGCTCAGGATGTTTACATGGCTTCACATGTGTCTGTGGAGGTATTTCTATTGTAAAATGTTCAAAAAAAAATTCTACGTTTGCACGTCAGGCTACATGGCAGAATTCATCAAAATTATCAACTCAGAAGCACCTCTTCCTATAGCATCCACGTAGCAGGGAAGAAACACTTCTTGTGTCGGTATGCATTCGAGAAGATATTGGAATGAAGAAAAAGGAAATCAAATGGATGGAGATGCTGTTTTGATGGCCGAGATGCTCATTTTTGGTTGGTGACCAGAAAGTTGAAAAAGCATTACTGCTGAGGTATCGAGTTTTAGTTTGTTTGTTGTGGCAGGAAAATGTAAAAAAATGCTTCACTTCTGATCATATGTTCATCAAAACAATACGTCCATGGAAGTTCGCGAAGGAACTTCAGGTGTTTTAAAACAAAATTCTTCATCTAACCTATGGAGAAAAGCTGGATAAGGTCTTATATTTTTTGGGGTGGGTAGGGGGAGACTCCCAATGATTTAATTAAGAAAGAAAATAAAAGCCAAAAATTTTAGTTGTAAAGCCACACGAACCTGTGAAGGATTTTGATTTTTCATAAGTGTTAAAATCTGAAAAGAAAGACATGTTTTCCCCTGACTATCGGTTTCTGCAGATATATGTATACATACATATATATATGTATATACATATATATGTAAGCCAACAGCAACAGCCTGTTGCTTTTGAGTCGGTTCCGACTCAAAGCAGCTCTTCAGGACAGAGTAGGATTGCCAAGGCTGTGAATTGTTACAGAAGCTCAGAGTGGCCAGTGGGTTCAAACCATTGACCTATTGGTTAGTAGCCGATGCTTAACCACTGTATGACCAGGGCTCATAGTATATAATAAAAGAAGTGAATAATAAACGGGGTCTCTGAAATTTTACAGGAGAGCCCCTGTGGGAGTGGTTTCGAACTGCTGATCCATGTTTAGCAGTTTAATCACCACATAACCAGGGCTTCTACCACTGATTTAACAAAAAGAAGATAACATTCCCTTCCCCATTGCCCTTCTCGGTTCTCTCCCTCTCTGAGATTCATGACTCCATTCTACACTCGGTTCCTGAAGTGTGTCCATCTTGACGTATAGTTTTTGACTGCCTTGGTAGTTGGGATCTCATTACCTCTGACAGTTAAAAGACAGAGGGAGCATTGAATGGCCAACCATTCCGAATCTAGATTTGAACATGGGAAAGAGAATGGTCTTGGTTTTCTATCTGTTTCTTTCTCCTCTGTCTCCTGGCAGAGAAACCAATGGACAAGACCCCTGCAAGCCTCAGATGCTGCCTCTCAGAAAAGGAGAGCTGGTCCAGACGGGAAGTCGGCAAGCTGCGGGTCTCGAGCCCTGTGTGGCTCTTTCAGTCTGGACATGCGGCTTGGAAGTAAACTTGAACAATTGAAAAGGGTATTATTCAGAGAATGGTGATAGCATTAATTTGTCGAACTATATTCATGACTCTCGAATGATGTGGAAATTGTTGGGAGGGGCAGGGTTGGCTCTTCCATCTCAAGTGTTTGCTGACCCCTGGTCCAGACCAAAGGAAGGAGGAAACGGAAACAGCAGGTGCACCAGTTCACCATGACTTAATGTTGGACTCATATCATGGCATCATCATTTTAAAATAATAGAATGGAATAATACTAACAGGAAGTACCTGGAAAACACAAATGCATCATGCACCTACATACCTAAAGTCTGGTGGGCTCTCCGGCCCAGGGCTAGGAGGTTCAGCACATTCGCAAATATGATTCAGATGGGCCTTCCCCAGGTGGCTGCATGGCCTTCTCCAGCACCACTGTGTGCCTGGCCATGGGGTAAGGGCTGTGCTGTCAGTACCTCACTGCTCCCTGGTTCCTCACAAATCCTTGGAGGCAGGTTCTCCTCTGATGCCCATTGGACCGCACAGGGGGAAACACAGGATTCACTTGGCTAGCGGGACAAGTAACTTCTGGGTCATTCCTTTTCGGAAACCATCTGGGTAAGTCTGAGCAAAACTGGAGCTGGACCTCAGCTCATTCCACTTCAGAGGTCCCTTTTGTAAACCTGGTGCTGCACCGAGTTCACTTCCTAGGTTACACTGAACAGGGTAAGGCTGGGTCTTCCGAAGGGTCCCGAGGAAAGAAACAGCATCCGAACACGCTGCTATTATTGGAGAAGTGGAGGACGGGGGCTCAGAAAAGGGCCAAAGGCATTGCGGCGAGTCCGGCGGGGCCAGAGGTGAGCATGGGCATGGCTTCCCAGCTAAGACTACTGGGGGTGTGTGCCAGGTGGCTGTCCTGGAAAGACATTGAGCATGTCTCCTCTTAGCTATGGGTCCCATCCAGCCTTGTTCTTCCAAGGCCCAGGCCGGTGCCATCTGCACTGGACACTGAGAAGATGCTGGAAAACGGCTCACTCAATGTGCAAGCCCTGTTTTGCAAGACCATTAAGTCAGGCTTCGGGCCAAGAACACATGAGAAAGGCTCACAGGTTAATGAGAGAGAGAGAGGCCTTGAGGTTACTGAGGAAGAGCAAGAGTGAACGTGGAGGCTAGAGAGGACTTGTTGAACTGGCTCCCGACACCTCTTGCCGACCTAGGCACAGCCCACCCCCTTGTTCTCAAAGGTCAGTCTCATAGGGTTCTGACATTCCTGCAGTGGCGAAGGCACACACAGCCCAACCCTGTGAGCCACGTGACCCAGCTGAGCCCAACTCTGGGCTCCTCAGCTTCTGCATATCTGACTTGGACTCCCTCACCTCGGCTCCCTTGTGGTCCTCTTGCCCCTGATTTTCCTGGGGTTCCAATGTCAATTCCCGAAGGACCTCTTTCCCCTTTGGGGCCAGGCAGGCCAGCAGCTCCAGGAACTCCGGTTCTACTGGGCCCTAGGAGGAGATGCAGAGGAAGGGGGACAGAACTCAGTGGAGGGGAGGCCCTCGTGCTTAACTTACTTGTCTAAGGCCTGAGAGGCCTTCCTCACAGACACCAGAGACTGCGAACTGCAATAACATGTAGAACAATCGTTCTCAACCTGTGGGTCGTGACCCCTTTGGGGTTTGAATTACCCTTTCACAGAGGTCACCCAATTCATAACAGTAGCAAAATGACAGTGATGAAGTAGCAACAAAAATAAGTTTATGGTTGGGAGGTCACCACAACATGAGGAACTGTATGAAAGGGTCGCGGCGTTAGGAAGGTTGAGAACCACTGATGCAGAGCTTATTTGGTTAGGGCAATGCCCATCCTCGTGGTCACATCAAGGGACCCACCCACCAGTTGGGGACTGACAAGGAGGCCTCCAGGTGCAAGCAAATGAGATTCATTTCAGTGGTGAACTCATAGATTCTGGGAAAGCCTAGCGGACCCTTCCTCAGTCCTTGGGGACTGTCCTTACCAGGTGTTCCAGGGCCACCCTTAGTGCCTGGAAGCCCATTTAATCCATGCAAGCCGGGCAGTCCAGGAAAGCCTGGGGAGAGAGAATGTCAGAAATGGTAGTCAAAAGGGGGGCAGCAGGAGGCAGCAACTCCAGACTACTGCGGTGCTCTCATTGTCCAGCTCCTGGTCTGTCCTGGGGCATCGCCTACCACCCTCAGGGAGAACAGATGACCTCTACCATATACCCCACCCCAACCCCCTCCAGATTTCTCAAGACGCCTATCAGCGACTAACTCAGCTTCAAATGGAAGGAACTACCAATTAGCTATGTCAGGAATAGCCAAGCAAAGACCTCGAGTTACCAATTCTCCCCGACTGCTTCCAAAATCTCACTCCCCGGGGCAAGAAGGGCTACGTATGTCAGAGCAATGAGCGTCCAGCTGACTCTTCTCTTTTCTCCATATTCTTCTGTTCTCCCTCATGTTGGCCCTCCTGCCTTCTCTTCCTTTCCCAGTGTCTCTCAAGCAGTGCAGTCAATGCCGCCCATGGGGACAGCGGGTCCTCAGCCAGTGTCTCAGACTCCCCCCCCCCCCAATTGCCTGCTCTCAAATAGACCTGCCTTTAACTCCGACCATTCCAGGGTGTCCCAGGGGGCCAACTGCTCCTGGTTGGCCAGGAGAACCTGGGAGCCCTGGGTGTCCTCTTGGTCCTGCAATTCCAGGGAATCCTAAAAGCGAAAGCAAGGTCCGAGATCAGAAAGGAGTCCTGGCCTGAAGCCCATCGGAAAGTTAGCAGGTCAAATGATACCTGGGGAGCCGGGCAGGCCGATGTCTCCCGGAAGTCCATCTTTTCCATCTTCGCCCTTAGTGCCTGGGAAACCCGCACCACCGGGCAGGCCAGCTTTTCCTTTGATACCTACACCAAGAAGAGTAACGAATTGTGACTCGGGTCACATTTGGGGGAGCGTGTTGAGGAGAAAGGTGAGGCCCCTTGAGCTGAAGGAGCTAGATCTGGGGATATGTGATCCAGCAAAGAAATGCTGGAAAGGCTTGTGGCAGCTCTGTTCCCGAGCTCTGGTAGCGGAGTAGGTTGTGTTGGGCTGATAACTGCAAGGTCAGTAGTTCGTAACTACCAGCCATTCTACAGGAGAGAGGTGAGACTTTCTACTCTCATAAAGAGCGACAATCTAGGGTACCCACAGGGGCAGTGCTACTCTGTTCTGTAGGGTTCTTATGAGTCGAAATCAACTTGGTGGTAATGAGTTTGTTTGGGAGGGTGGGGGAACCCAATTGAAAAGTAAGTGAGCTCATTCTCTTTGCCCCCAGAATCAGACACAGGATCAGGCATAGTTTCGATAACTATCCACGAAACCAAGGGAGCGGATGCCTTTATCCCTAAGGAAGCCTGAATCTCTAGAAGAGCAGGCTGATTCGCTTAGGGAAACTGTGGGCTGTAGACATACAGCAGGTAGGAATCTTTTTTTCCCAGGTTTATGCTCACTTTATTACCTCTGTCTACTTAGAACTGTTCTTTTTTTTCTAATCATTTTATTAGGAGCTCATACAACTCTTATCACAATCCATAAGTACATCAATTGTGTAAAGTGCATTTGTACATTCATTGCCCTCATCA